TCTGGGGGTCATAGTGGACCACAAGCTAAATATGAGTCAGTGTAACACTGTTGCCAAAAAAACAAACATCATTCTGGGATGTATTAGCAGAAGTATTGTGAGCAAGACACAAGAAGTAATTCTTCCGCTCTACTCTGCGCTAATTAGGTCTCAACTGGAATACTGTGTCCAGTTCTGGGTGCCACATTTCAGGAAGAATGTGGACAAATTAGAGAGAGACCAGAAAAGAGCAACAAAAATGATTAAAGGTCTAGAAAACATGACCTATGAGGGAAGATTGAAAAAATTGGGTTTGTTCAGTCTGGAGAAGAGAAGACTGAGAGGGGACATGATAACAGTTTTCAAGTACATAAAAGCTTGTTATAAGGAGGAGGGAGAAAAATTGCTCTTCTTAACCTCTGAAGGTAGGACTAGAAACAATGGACTTAAATTGCAGCAAGGGCAGTTTAGGTTGCGCATTAGGAAAAACTTCCTAACTATCAGAGTGGTTAAGAAGTGGAATAAGTTGCCTAGGGAGGTTGTGGAATCTCCATCATTGGAGATTTTTAAGAATCCATGCAAGATATTGAAAGATATAATCACATAACCAGAGTATAACTTTGAAATATTAAGAGAAATTGCTTAAAAATGGGAGAGGGGTGGAATTCCATGAATAATGTATGCTAATCCGGACGTGAAATTTTTGAAACTGATCAAACATGAAAACCCTCCAACTCAGAGAAACATGGAAGAAATTTCTTATACACTATTGCCATCTACTGGATAACAATGGAAGCAGCAGATAAACTAAGCTGAAATCAGAGTGCCCTGAAAATCAGTACCCAATAGAAAATAAGAAGATTGCCCTCATGTGGACCCTAGAGCTGAATGAATTTATATAGAAGCTGCAGAATCCAGAAGTGCTACCAACACTTGGACCAGCTGTGTAGAAAAGACCCAGTTCCAGGGTTAACAGGACAAAGAAGAAACTATACGATTTCATTTCAAAGATTGTATTTCTCTTTCTGTTCTTGAATATAAATAACTGAAAGTTCTCTTGTTGAGTCCACACTCTTTAGTGAGACCTCATGTTTTGGATTTTAACTAATTAATGCTACATGCGTGCTCTCCTTTGTAAGCCCAAGCAAAGCGGCCTAAGAGAGATTTAAATAACAACTTTCCGTAATTGCTTTTGACATTTTAAACTTGACTTTTCCATACCAAACTATTCAAATAGCAGGGACCTCACTCTTAAAAGAGTCTTTAAAATAAAACATCCTTACTTCTTGGAATAAGAAATGTGTTAGCAGTATTAAAGAAGTGATGATTGATGAGCATAAGAAAATGTAATAAGAATCTTGATCATTTGTATTGATATATCGTATAACTGCTGAGACTCAAACTTACCCTATGACAATTGCTGGAGAGACTGCATTTGTGTGTTCTGTACATACCTAGAAAATTTGATGTATGTAACTGTGTATATACTTATGTAGTTTTGGATGAATGAATAAAGTGTTGATTAAAAACACTAGGTGTCCTGATTTAAGAAATACTGGGTCCAAGGTAAAAATTGACCTGAAAAGAACCTAGAGTTAAAATTAATAAGCTCAGGCCTTGTCTACACTGCCACTTTACAGTGCTGAAACTTTCTCGCTCAGGGGTGTGAAAAACACCCCCTGGAGTGATGCACGTTTCAGCGCTGTAAAGTGGCAGTATAGACAGTGCACCAGCGCTGGGAGCTATTCCCCTCGTGGGGGTGGGTTATTTTTACAGCGCTAGGAGAGCTCTCTCCCACTGCTGGCGCTGGTGCCGCGACTACACAGCCACGTTAAAGCGCTGCCATGGCAGCGCTTTAACATTGGTAGTTAAGACATACCCTAATTCTCCCTGAACTCAATAAAAATGGGTTATCCTGATTAAATTCCATCACAATAGTGACCATAAACACTTATCAAATTGGCAAGTCTAGTCTGTTAGATTTCAGCTTTAAAATCTAACTGGCAACTTAGCAAATCCATAAAATTGACCCCTATTCATGCTCACAACTGGAAAACATATTATATAGAAGTACAGCATTGTGATGTGTCATTCCATATTCTTTATGAAAATATGCTTATACTATGAATATGACATAACTGATATATACTTTATGCAAAATGGCTCATGCGAGATATCATTGGAAAGGTTATGATTTACTGAATATGATTATCCAATTTGTATGCCTGTATCATTTCTGTATCTGAAGTTAGGAATATTGACTATGTATCTGTATTTCAACTGTGCTACTTTGGGTGACGCCAACTGCTAACACTTCAGGTACAACAATGGAAAAGCCAGACAGGGTGGATGGCCCATCAGTGAGGACAATGGACTGTGAAAAGCTTGGCTTTCCTGTGGACACTCCATACTGCCACTTACTCATGGACGCTGTGATACTACAGAGTCAGGTGGTCTTGTAACCTGATACTAAAACATTTCCTGGGACTTCTTATAACTTTCCACTGTAAGGGAAGGGGGATCAAGTATGGGAAACAAAGGAATCCTGCCTTAAGTAAATCCTATTTAAGGGTGGGGAGGAAGGCAAACTGGACTCCTCTCCATGGCTGTCTGCCCAAGAAGAAAGACTGCAAACGCCACCTGAAGGGAAGGCAAAGGGGGAGTCCAGACTGAGACAGCGGTCCAGTCTGAAAAGGAATGTAACTGGAACTCTGAATCACAGAAACTTTGCAACCTGCCTGCAACAACATCTAGGGTGAGAAATACTATTTGTAACCAATTTCTTTAGTGAAACTAGCTTAGTTTGCGTGTTTGATTTCGTTTGGTCAGTAATCTGCTTTGTTCTGTTTGTTACCCCTTTTACCACTTAAAATCTGTCTCTTATAGTTAATAAAATTTGTTTTGTTTATTATTAAACCCAGTTTCTGTAATTTCTAACTGGGGGGGCAAGAAGTGTGCACACCTCTCTCTACATTGAGGGAGGGGGCGAATTTCATAAAAGCTTTGGGTTGTATCCCTTAAAAGGAGTGAGCATCAGAGTGTTGGAGCAAGTCCCTTAAACTGAGTCTTCCCAGAGTGATCTGCAGCTGGGTGTGGCCCTGCCTGTGTGGGTTAGAGGCAGCTTTAATTGCCTGGCTCAGCAAGACAGGTTAAAGGGGGCCCAAACTGGCAGAACAGGTAGACTCAGTGCTATCTCAGCACATCAGGTGGCTTCCTAAGGGGCATAACTATCAGAAGCATAACCACTCAACATATGAAAACTAAGTTCTTGACAGTAAAATGATCTACATCAGAGGTTCTCAACCTGTGGTCTGCGGACCGAGCTCCATTCAGGTGGTCCACAGATAGTTCCCTCTAAGGTGCACGCCTGGGCGGCCGCACACAAGACATTGACAGGCCACCCACCTAATTAGTGGAGCTGTGAAGGTGTGGCTTCACTAATTAGGTGCCTGGACCTGGAGAAGACACACATGTAAGGTGAGGTGGTGGCCTTGGAGGGAATAGGTGGTAGGGGGCAGTGGGTGAGAAGAGCGGGTGGGGTGAATTTGGGATGTGCAGGGCTGCGGCAGCCAGAGAAAGAGATGACTTTCCCCAGCTCCAGGGCTGTGGCTGCCAGGGAGAGACAGTCCTCCTTCCGAGCCCCAGCTCGGGAGCTGCTGCAGCGGGGGAGAGAGGGAGAGACAGAGACCACCCTTTAACATTCTCTTTGTTAAGTTAAGTGAGCTCCTTAAGTCTATCCATTAAGGCATGTTTTTTACTCTTTTAAGCAGTTTTATGGCTCTAGCGGACAGCAAATCAGACATGAGTTTATCAAAGTGATATAGTTGTAAAAAAAACAATGAATGTAGTTTGAATTGCATATAAAAACCATCACACATTATGAAACATCAACATAATAGTTCTGCTTTCTTTCTAGGACTCTGGTGAGATCACACCTAAAATACTGCATTCAAGTCTGTGTGTCTCATTACAGGAAAGATATTGAAATATTTGTGGGAGTTCAGAAAAGAGCAATACAAATTATTGGGGGATGGAAGAATCAATTTATGAGAAAAGACTAAAAGAGTGAGATCTGCATAGTTTAGACAAGCAACAACAAAAGGTAGTAGGCATGACAAAATATCTGAAAAGTGTAAACATCAAGAAAGGACATGAACCAGGGACAGTACCAGACACCAGCTTGCCCCAGGACTGGAGGAACATAAAGTTGGCTTAAAGCCATCTTTATTTCCTCTCCAGTCTTGGACAGCACTGATTAGCCAGATGGAGGATGTCACAGGGTGTACCTGCCCTATAGCACCCCAAGTGGACCAAGCCTCAGTTTTCCCATACATCATCAATAAGTTAAACAAGGCTTTACAAAGTGAACAAGGCCCCTTCTGAAGGCCTAATGAAAATACAAGAAAACCTTCACCTCAGCATCCTAGCTGGGCAACAGAGTCAATCTTAGATTATCTGTTCCAACCAGGGGCCGCTACTCCCCTCCAACAGGGTTCTCTTGGCTCAGTACCTTCCCTGGAGTCAGGCCTCTTGCCAGTTATGTGAGGAGAATCTTTTGCTGGTGCCAGAGGTCTGTGGAGATCTGTCAGCTGCAGCTCAGCATATAGCTCCTAACAGGCTGGGCTTCCTGCCACAGTTCAGGAGTTCTCCGTCCCCCACAGCACACCTTCCAGGCCCCTGCTCTGCTGAGCTCTCCTGCTTTGCTCTTGTGGGAGTACTTCTGCTCAGGAGCTTCCTGTCTCTAGGGACCACCTCAGCTGAGCCCTGGTAATCCTTTAGCAGGCTTAGTACCCAACCAGCTACCTACAGATCTAATTACTTCCAGGTAGATCTGAATTGGCTCATTCTCCCTTACAGGAATCTATCACAGTAGGCCAGTCCCTGACACCTTTGTAAAGGCCAGCCTGTGCGACAGATCTTGCTCCATATACTGAACATTTTACCCACAAAGAAAATTTGTATAACAAAAATATATAAAATAGCAAAGATAACAGCTTTGGGTAGCTCAAGATTCTTCATACCTTTTGTATGTGCTGTGTTACCATGGCATCCAAGGGTGCTGTTCTGGCTTCCAGCTTCTTCAAAGGAGCTCCAGAGAAAACTTCATGAGCACAAAATGCACCTGAAAGAAAAAAGGTAAATAAAGCAAAAAAACACCACAACATATTAGCACCTACAAGAACTACACCATGGATCAAGAATCTTTTATTTGAGGGATTTAAATAGCAACTATCTGGTCTGATTTCAACACAGGTATATTGTTCCAGCAGAGGTAATGAATATTTTATAGTAGACAGTCCTGAACATGCAGATACAGTAGGGTAACTTAACAGTATATGGTTATTATTTGTCTTTGACAGACAGAAATACTTCTAGATAATACAACAGGGCTCATGCTTCATAAATCATGAGCATTCACCTCTCAATAACTTTGTTTAAAGGGTGCTACATCGGCGGAAATAATCTTGGGCACCTGGTATTCACATTCCAAAATTAGTTCCAAATGTAAATAGGATGATTAGGAGATGGTAGCCTTAGGGCTGGTCCACACTAAGCCCCTAGTTCAAACTAAGATACTTCGACTTCAGCTACGTGAATAACGTAGCTGAAGTCGAAGTATCTTATTTCGAACTTAAAGGTACTTACCGCGGGTCCACACGCGGCAGGCAGGCTCCCACGTCGACTCCGCCTACTCCTCTCGCGGAGCAGGATTACCGGCGTCGACAGCGAGCACTTCCGGGATCGATTTATCGCGTCTAGACAAGACGCGATAAATCGATCCCAGAAGATCGATTGCTTGCCGCCGAACCAGCAGGTAAGTATAAACGTACCCTTAGAGTCAGCATATTTATTTTCAATAACCCTTGGAACACTTTTTCCAGAAGACTAGAAAAAACTAATGTTGTGCCAATATTTTAAAAGGGTGGACCCGACAACTCAGGAAATTATAGGACTGTCAGCCTGACATTGATCCTGGGCAAAACAACAGAACAGCTGATATAACTCATATGGGGGGGAGAGATAGCTCAGTGGTTTGCGCACTGGCCTACTAAACCCAGGGTTGTGAGTTCAGTCCTTGAAGGGGCCACTTAGGGATCTGGGGCAAAATCAGTACTTGCTAGTGAAGGCAAGGGGCTGGACTCAACAACCTTTCAGGGTCCCTTCCAGTTCTATGAGATTGGTATATCTCCATATATATTTTTTAATTAATTAAGAGAGTAATATAATTAATGCCAATAAACATGGATTTATGGAAAATAGCTCCTGTCACGCTAATGTGATATCTTTTTATGATGAGATTACAAATGTGATTGATCAAGGTAATAATACAAATATAATATTCTTAGACTTCTGTAAAGGCATTTGACTTGGTGCTACATAACATTTTGATTAAGAAACTAGAATACAAAATCAACATGTCATACATTAAATGGAGTAAAAGCTGGCTAACTGATAGGTCTCTAAATGTAACTGTAAATCGACAATCATCATTGAACGGGTGTTTCTTTTAGTGGGGTCCCTCAGGGATCAGTTCTTGACCCTACACTATTAAACATTTTAATCAGAAAACAAAATCAACACTGATAAAGTTTGCAGATGACACAAAGATTGAAGAAGTGGAAAAAAATAAAGAGGATATGTCACTGATAGCGATCTGGATCGCTTGGTAAGCTTGGTACAGGCAAACAGTATGTGTTTTTATATGGCCAAATGTAAATGTATACATCTAGCAACAAAGAATGTAGATCATCCTATAAATATGGCCAACTCTATCCTGGGAATTCAGTGGCTAATCAGCTGGATGCATATTATTTGGACCTGCTGATTTTAAAATTTCTACTTTAGTAGCAGCTCTTTAATATCCTCCAGAGATACTATTAGACTAGAAAGAGTGTCATCGTTATAAGTAGTGCCCTTTGTTTTCAGGTTTTACCATAAACCCTCCAAAAAAATGTAGGTTTTGAAAAATCCAGTATTCAGATTTTTCCATTTTCTATCTGGATTTTGTACCTGCTCAAACTCCCCAGGCCTGTTTGCAGACTCCATAACAGAAAGCACAGTGCACCTGCACGGGGGAGGGTAAGTGCCAGTTGGTGACCATTGCAGCTGCGCAAGATGGGCAAGGAGCCTGCTGAGACCACTGACTGCTGCAATGATAGGCTACAAGGAGTGGAAGGCTGCACCTGGTGAGTACTGGCCCCCTCCTGACCGCAGCCATTCAGCACGGCCCAGGGCAAAGACTCCTGTCTGCTCCCCCAATCTCTGTCTCCCTCCCCACTTCCAGACCCCCTCCCCCCTGTGCATGCCAGGAAGCCCATCTCTCTCCACCAGTCCACTTCCCCTATCTACCACTCCCACCCACCAGGTACCTCCCTCCCCAACTTCCCCCCCATGAATGCTGGGCACCCCTTCCCCCATCTGACACCTCCTCCCCCTGCCACCGAATCAGGTACCCCTAGCCCCCACAGACACCCCTCTCCCTGCCACCCCACCCCCCATTTCCCCTTTCTGTGATAATTCCTGTGAGCAGCTCTGTCTGGAGACATGTCATTGTCTGGAGAGGAGCCCCAGAGCACAAAACTCCATCCACTGCACCACCAGACAGAGCTCCTGCCTGCCCCTGGGCCAGGAACAGTTGTTCTATCTCCCTGTGGCCCTGAGGAGTAGACCTGGAGAGCACACGATGTGGGGAGGAGGGTAATGGCAGCCCCCCTGCTGTTTGCAAATCAGTGACTGGGAACTGCTCTCTCCTGACTCCCTGCCCCTGTGTCCCACCTCTGTGACAGGAAAGATGATTTTGGGATCCATGAGTATTGGGGACCTTCCCTCTTCTCACTGGGCACCCCTTACTCACCACCCACAGACCCCAGTGATAGCCTGTGTGAGAAGCTGGGTCCAGGGATATGTCCAAGACTTCAGGAGAACAAGCCTTGGAAAAGACACTTTTCCTACACTCCCTAGGACTTTTGGAATTTACACTTGATACAAGAGGCCTCAGTGTAACTGTAAAAGTCACCCAAAGTAATTAGGCATTAGAGATAATGATTTCATAAACAATAAACTCTTACTTTTCTCTCTGTTGCTTTTTTCTCTCTTCCTGTTCCCCAATATTAACCCTGATATTCACCTAGAAAACTGTGAAGTTAATTTTTTACACTCCTCTTTGGCTGTTTATTAATTTTTTATATAAACACTGCTAAATTCCCAGAAAATTAAATTATATGATATGACTACTGCAGGGGGCAGGAAGGGCAGGTGTGGAGTGAAGCAGAAGTGAGGAGGATGTGAGGGAGGGGATGGAGGAGTAGTAGGTTGGAGCAAACAGCCAATCAGCACAGGGCAGAGAAAAAGTCTGAGAACATTCCGCAGTTTTAACTGGAATGTCAAGAGTGCCAAAAGTATGCTTTGGCTGCTTCTGCTCCTACCAGCAGGAGTCTGAGGCTGGTTCTCCTTTGCAGTTCTCCTACAAGGCCACATGGCAGGGAGGCACCAACTGGATCCTAGTTGAGATTAATGCTAAAACATGTTTCTCTTACCATTAGTTTCCTGGAAATTGTGGGTGTGGAGCTGAGTGATGGGTGTAGCTGAGTGGTGCTGAGTGCTGGATGGGTCATGGGATGGAGCAGATGATTTTCTGGAAAATTTAAATGCCTTTTCTAGTTGCTCTTCCATTATCCAGTATTTATGCTTTAACTTTCTTATTTCCTCTTCCAGGGATTGAACATAATCTACAAACATAAAAAAATGATCTTGGAAAAGGTATTTTAACTTAAACAAGCAATTAAATCATAGTGAGTTTGGCAGACCACTTGCTAGAGAATTTCCTTTTATCCAATCATACAGTTCTAGAGTTAGAAGGGACCGCAAGGATCATCTTAGTCTAACCCCTGCCAAAGTGCAGGATTTGTTGTGTCTAAACCATCCAAGGCAGATGGCTATCCAGCCTCCTTTTGAAAACCTCCAGTGAAGAAGCTTCCATAGCCTCCCTAGGTAGTCTGTTCCATTGTCCTACTGTTAGGACCAGTTAGGAAAATTTTCCTGAGATTTAATCTAAATCTGCTATGCTGTAGTTTGAAATCATTGCCTTTTGTGGCAAAAGGAGAACATTTCTCCGTCTTTTTTATTGCAGCCTTTCAAGTATTTGAAGACCACAATCATATCCCCCTTAATCTCCTCTTTTCCAAACTAAACAGACCCATTTCCTTCAGACTTTGCTCATATGGGTTGCATTCCATCCCTTTGATCATCTTTGACACTCGCCTCTGGATCCTTTCCAGTTTCTCTACATCCTTTCTATACACTGGTGACCAAAACTGGACAGTTCTCCAGCTGAGGCCTAACCAGCACCAAGTAGAGCAGTACTATCACTTCCCATGGTTTTCATGCTATGCCTCTGTTAATGCAACCTAAAATTGCATTTGCTTTTTTTGCAACACCATCGCATTGCTGACTCATGTTGAGGTGGTGATCCACGACAACTCCCAGATCCTTCTTAGCTGTGCTGCTGCCAAGCCAGTTTCCCCCAATTCTGTATTTGTGCATTTGATTTTTTCCCCCTAAGTGTAGCACCTTACGTTTGTCTTTGTTGAATTTCACTTTGTTGTCTATAGCCCGGTTCTCCAGTTTAGCAAGATCGCTCTGAATTTTAGCTCTATCCTCCAAAGTGTTGGCAGCCTCCCTAGCTTTGTGTCACCTGCAAACTTGATCAGATCCCTGTGGAATCCCACTTGAGACATCCGTCCAACCCAACAACCTGATTCCATTAATAGTTACTCTTTGTTTGCAGTTGTTTAACCAATTATGTATCCACTTAGTGGGAGTTCTGTCGAGCCTGCATTTCTTCAGCTTACTTATCAGAATGGCATATGGGACTGTATCAAAAGCCTTGATGAAGTCCAGGTATGTTATGTCCAACACATTCCCCCATCCACCAAATCAGTTGCCCTGTCAAAGAAGGAAACCAAGCTGGTTTTGCATGATTTGTTCTAGTGATCACCCCTTCATCCTCCGGGTATTCGCAAACTGAATGTTTTATACATCGCTCTAGTAGCTTCCCAGGTATTGAAGTCAAGCTGACTGGTCTCTAGTTCCCCAGCTCCTCCTTTTTCCCCCTTTTATAAATGGGCATTACATTAGCCCTTCTCCAGTCTTCTGGGACCTCTCCTGTCATCCATAAGTTCGTAAATATTATTGCCAGTGGCGCAGAGAATTCTTCAGCTAATTCTTTCAGTACCCTCGGGTGAACAGCATCAGATCCAGCTGATAAGAGTACTATATCCTCCAACTGCTGGAAACAGAAACAACTGAGCTCTGGCAGCTGGAAACTTTTTATATATAGGAAGATGGTGTCAACAAAAAGGCTCAATGGTATTGTCTTCAGCTATTAGCAGGGAAGAACTATATGCACATATCAGAACTAGCATAGAAGATTGAAGAGAGAAATGTCCTTTAGAATTAATGAATAGAAATCTTTGATTGAACTGAGTAATCATATTGTTTCACTAACAGAGTATAAATTAATAGGTAAAATAAGAGTTTATGTCTAATGAACACCTCTGCACATAATAATTAGCCCATCAATTCATGTTTGCTTGGAAATGGCAAGGTGTAAAATAACTGTGTTAACTATTCTTAACTATTCATAATTATTCAAAATGAAACCTCAAAGTTAGAACAGAATAAACAGCCATTTTGGAGGGGAATGCAGCAGGTGCAGGAGAATCTACTTTGCTGGGTCTGTCTGGTTTTCTCAGATCCAGAAAATGGTCTAGGCTGGCTTTGGAATAATTCAGAGGACTCAGAAGTTGAATGTTTAGCTAAGCGAGGCATGTGCAGTGAGCAAATATGCAGTTCATCTGCACATGTTTAGATTATTGGACAAAAAAAAAAGGGTTTAAAAAATCTATACCAATTGTACCATGCATGTGCAAAAGGGCCATTAAAAGGCTCAAAAAATGGTCAATTTTTCACCAAAACATTCAAATGCTTCTCTTTTGGGATGGTTATTTCCCTATCAAATTACAGTTATCTTTCTTTCCCAAAGTTCAAAAAAGGTCACAAGAATTTCTTTATGAAGGGGAAATTGTAGTTTTCATTCTCCTTATACTCAAAAAAGTGAACAATTTTGGCCCAAACTTTATTTTAGAAAATTTTTGGTAGAGACTATGCCTGCAAAACTGTAGCTCAAATGGTTAAATTTTCAGCAAGTTATGAGCTGGGGGTTGCGAATAGAAATAACTGGCAAATCTTAACTATAGTAGTTGCTACCAGTTCCCCCTGTAATGTACATGTTCATTCACAACCCATGTATTCTTCTCTGAATTTCCTTCTGAGTGATGAGTATTTAAAATAGAGTAACTCCTCACTTAACGTTGTAGTTATGTTCCTGAAAAATGTGACTTTAAGTGAAACAATGCTAAGCAAATCCAATTTCCCCATAAGATTTAATGTAAATGAGGGGGTTAGGTTCCAGGGAAATTTTTTTCACCAGACAAAAGACTCTCTCTCTCTCTCTCTCTCTATATATATACACACACACACACACACACCACACACACACACACACACACACA